AAAAGGAAAGCTCCCCGTCAAACTCTACCATCCGACCCCGGCAGCTTGCAAGTTGCAAAACGATCACAATCAAGTATTTAAAAATATGTTTTTTTTTGTTTTTTTTAAACAATTATTTTACTAAAACCGAAAGATTTGTGCTTCTTTAGCGGAGAATCAGTTTTCTTCCTTTTCCTCTGTGAGGTACTTTCTCCTTGTAAGGTTTGTACTAGTAGAGTTACGAGGATCGGCTACGTCTTCTACTTTTATTTTCTTTCCAATATTCTTCATCAGGCGGCCATTATTCATGAGCACGTGCATGTGTAGCCTTGTGATACAGAAGGAAACTCACATCGCCCCCCCCCCCTTTCCTCTTTACACACACGCTCACGCAATAAAGAATTCTTTAAGGGCACAATGACAAAATAACATCTTCATCCATAACACGAAGTGTTTAGCGACATAATAGTTGAATTAAAATGATTGCAAATTACTCATAAAATTTCTGCTGCGCCTGCCAAGAGTTACTATAGTCTACTTTCACACAATCAGTAACTACACATACAGCCCACGCGTATAATTTATCATGTTCTTGTTCTCCAGTGCGTGGTAGGCCTACACGATTCTCAGTTGTTTTAAAAACATGTGTGCCCCAGTTCCTCCCAGAGTTGTGCCATTCTTTTTATTATAAGAGTCATCTCCGCTCTTCTCTTTATACAGAAACACTTGAAAACAATATGAAAATGGTATGTAAAGTTTGTGCAGAAATGCAGACGAGTCGAAATTTTGATCAATTAAACATACGGCCATGACAATCAATAAAAGATATTAGCATCTCATCAGAAGACCGCAGACTGGTCATCGTGACTTTTATACAAAGTCTTCCAGGGCACGAGCCAAAAGAGAACTTACTCGAGTTCGGGAGAAAATAATTGTTTTTCTTGATGTAAACACAAATCTACCAGCAAAACCTCTTCGAACGTTGTAAACTGTTTAAAATATTGAAGTTTGACTGCCATTATTGGAGATGAATGACCCCCCCCCCCCACACACACACACGCACACACACTAACACCCAAAGAAATTTACTTGTGATAACGAGCAAATGATATCCGCCAAAGCACAATAAAAAGTGTGGACCATTTGGTGCAGTTTCTGATCAGCACTCTCTTTTGCTGCATGATTATATCATAGGATTTTAGCCAACAAAAGCAAGTGTAGAAAGTTGTTTGATATTGCGTCAGCCTGCTGTTCACATCGTACTAAACCCAACATTTTGATTTTCTTTAAAATTTAGATTTTTAATCTGTGATATTTGTTGCTAATGCTCAAGAAATATGTCGTCGAAATTCAAACTGTAATCATTGAAAAAAGCAAAGAAAAAAATAAGGTAGATACAACTGTTAAAAGAATGAAACATTTTCCTCTCCCACTCCTGAAAATAAAAAGATTTTGGGGTTTATTACATTTGAACAGCTTGTCCACGACCAGGAATTGCTTGTGTCCAATATGGTACGCAACCAATGACATCGTATTAAACCTGCGACTATTAAAATTTGGTTCATTTTGCCAATACCGGTACTGATAATATATGTCAACGTTAGCCTGACAAAAAAATATCTGCTTTGAACTTACAAATAGTTTGAGAACCAGGAAAGTAAGGTTTTCTCGACAACAGTGGCAAACATACGTTGTCCCTAAGCTGGATATTTGTTTTTTTTAAATAAAGACATTCTTTTTTCTTGATATTCTGCACTGAAGGAATAAAGCCAACGACAATGACCGATCCTTGAAACTTTCAGTCCCTCCGCTTTCAGTGGAGTGCTGAGGACAGCAACACAATGGCCCCCTCTTCTTCCCTCCCCCCTCCCCCGAAACGACTAGGGACCTGATGACTTTATGGTGCGATCAATTTCCAATTTCTGATGTGACTGTGTGGGGTCCTGGTGCTGCCTCAACCAGAGCGCCATCCACACACGCCAGACAATGGGAGAAAAATCGATATTCACCTCGTTTTTCATCCATCTTCCTTCTTCTTTCCGCTAATACCTTTTTGTTTACGTTAAAGGAGAGAGCGAAGGAGAGAAAGGTAGTCGCAGGCAGAGACAAGGAGACAGACTGAAAAGGAAAAGGGAGAAAAGAAGACAACGTTTTGCAAAGCTTTTCATATTTAACACCGCGTGAAAGACCAC